CGTATCATCTGCATAAATAACATACTCTATTGATGTGTTTATTCTTGTCATATCATTCATAAAAATAATAAACAAAAGTGGGCCGAGTATACTATCCTGTGGTACGCCATGTCTTACTTTTGCTAGCGGGGATAATTTCTTCATTATTGAGGCACACTGGTGTCGGTCAGTGAAATAACTTTCAATCAAATTTGAGGCGACACCGCGAACGTCATAGCACACAAACGTTTGCAGTATAGTTGCATGATTTATATCATCGAATGCCTTGGAGAAGTCTATAAAGACACCTAACATTAATCTTTTCGCTTCTATAATTTTTAATACTAATTGCTTTTGATGAAGCAGCACACTTAGGGTTGAGAGGCCAGGCTTGAAACCAAATTGAGATGGTGCTATATTCTGGTGTTCATCAAAATTCTTGACAGCGTAATAAAAACAATTTTTTCTAGACACTTTGAGAACATTGGCAATATAGAAATTGGCCTGTAATTTCTCAGATTATTTTTATCTCCCCCCTTATATATTACTGTTACTTCGGCAGTTTTATGCGCTGAGGAAAAGTACCGGTACTCAAAGCAAGATTATATATGTATTTTAAGTACGGACTGAGAAGATCAATAACAAAAATATTTGGTTGTTTTTTAGGCCATCGATGTCCTGATTCTTACTTACTTTAAAACGTTTAAATACACTTATTACCTCATGTTCATCTGTCGGAGTGTCAAACAGAGAATTCACGGTAGAATGGGGCAGGTAATTCTGAGTATCAGCATTGTATTTGCTATTTACTAGCGTAGTAAATGCTCATTATATTTGTTTGCCAATGCTGCTCCTCTGTACACATTATCGCATATAGTAAGCTCATCAATGCTGTTTTCGGACTGCCATCTAGATATCACAGCGTTTAATCTGTTCCACATCTTCTTCACCTTTATCACGCCTTCAAACATAGTAAAATAGTATTTGGGTTTGGGTTGTCTCCGAAGCTTCGTCAAATTATTTCGTTATGCTTTGAAAGCCGTGAGAGTAGCTGGATCACGCCGTGAAAGCTTATTTTTTTCCTTTATGATTTTAAGAACGTAGCTGGTCATCTATGGTTTACGCGCTCGTTTAGGTTTTTTGAAGGTTTTGTTTGGGAAGTGTTTTTTGTGTACTGAGCTTAATATCTCTATGAAAGAGTCATATGCTAAGTCAGGTGAAAAAGACGACAAAACATCCTCCCAATTTAATGTGCTAATTTCATCTCGGAACGACAAAAGTGAACTTAAATTTATTTGTTGAAATTTTATTTCTGATGAAGTACTGGGCTTTTTTTTTCAGGTGTCTAACCAAAGCAAGGTATATGGGATGATGGTCACTAACTGCTGTAATAAAAACCCAGGAATATATCTCTTCAGTTGTGATCGTTTGATAAGAACAAATCTAATAAAGTTGAGCTAGTCGGCGTAATTCTGGTAGGTACTGAAATTTTATTAGAAATAAAATTTGCATCTCGGAAGAGCCAGTAGATCTGAGCGTCTTGTCGTGTTCTCTAACATATCTACGTTTCGCCGCCCACAACTAATGTGTCTTGTTCGTTGTTTATAAATGTCAAGAAGTTCACTAGATACTGAAAAAAACTGCTAATGTTTCCTTCTGGTGGCCTGTATACTGCAGAGAACACAAAATTTTCACATCCTAATGAAAGTATTTCAATATTATTAGAAGACAAAGGACCAATCAGTCATATATTTGTAAGTGATATTGATTTTAACATAATCGCAAACACCCCTACCTCTTCGCTATTCTCTATTCAGGTTAACAAGGTTATAGCTCTCTATAATAATGATATCTACGTCATTTCAGTACCATGTTTCTGTAAACATGATAATCGAAAACTTGAAACAAAATCCTTCAATGAATGTAATTAAGTCGTCTTTCTTAGATCATGCTGATTGAACACTAATGTGGAGTAACGTTAAAGGCCAATTGCACTGGTCAGCCATTCATTATCTGAATGCGAGTTTTACCATATAATGCATGACATAGGAGCTTTAACCACAGTTTATTTCGACGCTGATGATGGCAATTCTCATCTTAGTTCATTGTTCATAATGTTACAGCTATCATTTTTGAGTAATGGCCTAGGACAAACCTTGAAGCCGTGTTCTGTATTTTTTATGTTTGTCTCTTAAAGACATTTGACAAGGGATCTCGTGCGAAACAAGCAAGTCCAAGCATACGGTGAATGTATGCTTAATACACCGCTGATTGTGAACATGCCGCCACCTGTCTCAGGCTTCGCTGTATAAAGTATAACAATTTGATGACCTTCGCCACCACTGAATCAACAGGAGCATTCTATGAATGGTTTTCCATGGTTTTTTATTCGTTCTCCAGCTACCTGTGGCTTCCCGAAAAAACCTGCTCTTCCTTTCCCACCGCAACACCCAGGTTTTCATGAAGATTTTTCAGTTCCTCCACAGCACTGGACAGCTATTTGTAGAAGGTGGTCGTGGTGTCCTCGACCATAGATGTCGCTTGTATTTTCTCACCCAATCATTAATTATCTCTCCTTCTTCCCCTGCAGACGCTGAGACATTCTTTCACTTAGGGCTGCAGAAACAGCGTCTTTTTCACTCTTCTTGCTCCTTCTACAATAGATCGAAGCATGTCAGCTTTGTCTTCGTTGAACATTATAGTGTTTGGAAATATCAGTGTTGCATTTTTTACATGAGTAAAGGCTTCACACTACGCTCGAAAACGAAATTTGGGCTTGAATAGCGGTCATATACGCGCGCATTTAGAAAATAGGTATTTATAGGCATTTACAGACATTTAGTCACAAACACCCAAAAGAGGCATTTATCGACACCATAAAAACAACATAAAAGCCCTTCTTAACTGCAATTCATGCTCAGATGTCAAAATGACACGATAGGAACGCAAGGAACAAAATAGGCATTCGCCTGTAACCCGGTCTCGATTATAAGCAAACGTTCGCGAGATTAGACAGTCGCCTGTGTTCTCTCATCTGCTGAACCATGTTAATTATCTGAAAATGACACACAACCACCCAGGAAAGGCGATACACGGCAACCAGAAATAATGAGACCACATCCAGGCTAGCCATGCCAGGCCGAATTTCGCCGCCTTTATTTGTTCATCTCGAAAACCGTGTTCATTGCGGGCTAGTACGAGCAACATAAAACAAGTAAAATGAATGTACGCACAAACATCGACTAAAAGTAGGAAATATTTTTTCGCACTGCGCTTTACCGTACTCTGCTGTATACACGTCACCAACCTCTTCACTTTGGAATAACGTATAATCAGTGTTGCTTACACGAAATTGTTTCTCGTCCGATTCCGCTGGTGTCAACGTTTTGCAACGAAGGAATAAATACTGTTTACATCGCGCGTTTCCATATGTTGGAAGCGTTGGGCAATGATATATTGTTGACGCAGGCGTTGGAGACCGGGCAAGGAGGCCTGAACACGTATATTTTAGGCTTCTCGTCTCTCCGTATAATATTATCATTTCTTCTCTTGTATCCTTTTGGTACAATTTACTTCCAGGCAGCAATATTGACAACAACAAGAACAACGCGGAGTAGAATTAATAAAAGCGCACTTAAGAATACACCGCAAAAAAAAGAACAGAAGCGCCTATTTAATGATCCGCTTAGAAAAAAGTTTGCTTCTTTATTTTTTTGTCTGGCTCTTCCGTCTTGCTCTCTCGTAATTGAAAAGTTCGTCAGTTGCCGTGGAATCAGGTGCTCCGCGCGTTACTGTGCCTCTGCTATCGAAGTCTCTTTCGTTCACTTCACCAAACAACGCTTCTGCAGCAGGCAACGCAATCTGCGCCGGCTCCGAAAAACACCATTCTTATTAGGTTTTTCTTTTTATGTGTGTTTCACAGTGGTCACTTCGAGGTCTCAGAAAGCTAAGGGTCGGTACGTTGTTCTTTCGGTGTTTCTCTTTTTACTCTCTGGTTATATTCTCGCGTACAAATCGCATTCTGCCTCCGTGTGAACGCCACGCGCTTGCTCCAGCCTCCAGAGGACCAGCGCAATGATGCGGCATTCATTATCTCCACTCCCTCCACACTCTCTTTTCTATCACTTGAGACGGAAGACAGGTGAGAAAAAACAAAGAACAGGTGTGATTATCGACTGCCCTTTTGCACGCGGGGACTATTTTGTGCTAGCGGCAGAGGCGAGAAAAAGAAAAAGAAAGAAACGGCAAGCATGATGAGACAAGGCCGCTTTTTTCGCGTTACACTGAAGTCTCATTCACCGTTTTTATAGACGATAGTCTTTCTTGGGGACCTTCTACGCCTTTCGTCTGTCTGTCTGTCTGACTGTCTGTCTGTACACTTGTCTGTTTGGCGTACCTTAACGGTAGCCCAAACGGCACCAAAGCTACTAAACGATACTCCAAACGGCCGACCTCATCCGCAGCGCACACCAATATTGTTCAATGTTCAGCGGTCATACTTGTGCGATTGTCAATTAAAAAGCAATATTGCGCATATCTGGGGCACCATAACAACACGTCAATATTATGTATGTTTACTTTTTACTGGAAAAGGCATACAGAGGTAGTTTTAATGATCGTAGCCTTCATAACGCTGCGCTGGCCATGCAACACTTGCACGAAACGGCAAGTGTTTCCAACGCTTTGCTTACACGAGACGGTGGTGGAACCTACCCGTCGCCTTGCGTTCTGCACCTTATCACCTCAGAAACGGGCGCGCACAGCGCGCGCCCCATTTTCCAGCGATAACTGCTAGATAGCGCTCATGTCTCACGTGTGACGTAGCTTGATGCGCTCGTTCGCCTCCGCTGCACGCTCGAGGCACTTAACGCAGCGCCTCCAGAATACCGTTCACCAATTTTTTTGCGCAGAACATCAAATAAACGTTTTGTTCGATCTCTGCAGACGCAGGACTATCGTCTTTCGACGACATATGCGGTGTAACATGCAGATAAGGGGCAATGTTTTTATATCTTTTTCAGGTTCGGTGAATTTTGTTTATGAATGGCCACTTTATTCGACGCTTTGTTCGCTCGACCATCGCCATCTGACAAACTGGTCCTCTTCGTCCCCCAGCTTCCCCCCACCCCTGATCATGGAATTTAGCTCTTAGTAAAAAGTGTTGGTCGTTGCCGCGTTGTACTGAAGTAACATAATCCTTGAAAACCTAATTACACTTTTATCGGATCCGGCGAAACAGGCGACGAAAACTAAGGACGGAGAAACGTGCATGTGAACACTCACGCAGTGCGCATAAAAGTTAATATAATAATAATAATAATAATAATATAATAATTAATATAAGTAATTTTTAGTGATATCATTATTATTATACTATTATTGTTATTTGTACTAGTGGTAGTAGTGGCAAAGCCAGCGCATAGCGTTGAATAATAAATCAGAAGCGCTAAAAACGGACTCTAAGTTTGAGAATATACAAAATTTAGATAACATTTACCATATGACAGGAAAGTAGCGGCCACCAAAATAACATACAACAGGTATAAGAGAATATATATATATATATATATATATATATATTATATATATATATATATTATAGAGAGAGAGAGAGAGAGAGAGAGAGAGAAAGAGGGAGAGAGAGAGAGAGAGAGAGAGAGAGAGAGAGAGAGAGAGAGAGAGAGAGAGAGAGAGAGAGAGAGAGAGAGAGAGAGAGAGAGAGAGAGAGAAAAGACAGAGAGAGAGCGCGTCGAGCGCGTTATTCGAAGGTCGCAGGTTCGGATTCTGCCCACGGCAAGTTATCATTTGACCCCTTTTTCTTTCTTCTCATTTACAATACAATTGGCCTAATAACTTCCCCTATACCTTCCTTGGCATTATTGTCCATTATATCTTATTATTACTGTGTAAAACACAAAAAACGAGCCCTAAAGTATACACTTGTTTCCCATATATACATATATATATATGGGTGTGTGTGTGTGTTACTGTGTGTTTTTTAAAATAAACTTCATCAAAGTGCTTTCTAATGCATGACGAACTCTGTAACATCCATTAAGGAAACCAGTGGCTCTAACTTCTAAGCCACAGGCGCACACCTCTTCAGGCGAAACGAAGCAACTTGAAATGAAAAAAAAAAAAAAACAACCTTTAAAAGGGTACTTCAGATGAACGCTCTTAATTCGACGTAAACTGTTCAAATACCATTGCGAAAACCTCCCCGTGCTCTTTTTTCGTGCCGAGAGAATGTCCGCGTTCACATACGCCTACAGTTAACGCATGCAGTCCAATTGATAAAGCTCGCATGTGCCGTCCCCACATTTAACTATTTGGAAGACTGCGTCATCAGTGCTGGCTCTGTTAAGTCAAGACAGAGCCAGCAGCGTGGCACCCAGTTAAAATACTGAGCACAATTGTAAACGCGGAAGCTCGTCGCGAGAGATCTCGTCCAAGAACCAGACAATAGCTGGTATCACAAATCTGTGCGTCCGTGTCGGTGATTTCAGCTGCGACGACCACCGGACGCAGCAAAGAACAATGAAGCAGCACTGCGGGGAAGCAGCGCTTTAAGGGCACATTACGCCACTTGGTTACGTTGATTGATTGATACGTGGGGATTTAACGTCCCGAAACCATCATAAGATTATGAGAGACACCGTAGTGGAGGGCTCCGAAAATTGCGACGACCTGGGGTTCTTTAACGTGCGCCCAAATCTGAGCACATGGGCCTACAGCATTTCCGCCTCCAACGGAAATGCAGCCGCCACCGGCGGGTAGGCAGCCGAGTACCTTAGCCACTAGACCACCGCGGGGGCCACTTGCTTACGTTCCGGCTGGCTTTCTAATACTCTGCGCGGAAAAACCACACGAGTATACTCACTGGTATCAATTTATTGATTTAGTTAGTTAAAATTAAAATAGGCCTAAACGTCCAGAGATGAGTTTCGACATTAAGGGTGGAGTTATACATAGCATTAAATGTGTATGTCCTCGATCGCTGCTTTGAAGTCGATGATGTTGAAAGGTTTCACATCGTAATAGGAAGGCATCCTGCTTTCAGAGAGACGTTTAGCCACTTCGATCGAAGCCACTTCCCTACCCGGCGCCCAGTGGGAAGTGATAGGTCGATTGCAGTTAGAGTGAATTGTGTTCGCAAGTAAAGAGCGTGCAGCATGCGTGCGTAGCGAAGCTGCTATTTAAGAAGTGCCACGCCAGGGCGTGGAGCCCGGTGAAAGCGAAACCTTTCAACCACGCAATATGTTCTCAATGGTAGCGCCAGAGTTCTTTTTACCGTGAATCGAACTGAAAGGCTCAAGTAGCATTTTATTCCATCCTGTAAGTTGCAGCAATTATCTTTATTTTTCATGGCGTATACTTTAAGCACTTTGACTCAATATAGTAGCCCTATAATATAGCCACACGTCTATTATATTCTATCTATAAGGCTCCAACACTGGAATGTCGCACCGGCGTCGGTTTTCTTCTCTGTTTTCTTTTAACTGGCCTGCTGTGGAGACATTAGCATTCAAATCACCTCACCTGCTTAATTTCTATGCGCATGGCCACGAAAAAAAGAAAAAGTGTTTACTTAATATAAAAAATTGTTAACTGGAGGAAAAAAAACGCCAGGCCTGCGTGGAACGCGCAGCACAGGCACAGCGATAGCTCAAAGAGCGGCCTTTCAGAGCCTTTTTTGAACACTATTTATGTAACTGCTACAAGCACAACTTGCTTGGTACGCACTAGAACATAAATAATCATAATATCTGTGTAGTAGGCTGGCATTCACTATGCAAACCTTCGTATCCTTTGTCATTCTTTGGGGAAGCGTGGTATCCGCTACACACTTTCAAATAAGTTTGTACCAAATTTTCATGAAGTAGCTGACGAAGACGAAGAATTAGGCGTGAAGTTGGTATGCTTCACAGTTAAAAGAGGATTAACAACGAGTTTTTGTCATGGGTTGGAGCATTGGACGGCCCACTAGTTATGCAATTCGCATTTTGTGGTGCCTGTTTGCTTCATTGATGTTCTAAAACGCTTTATTACTCATGTTAACGCGATTTCTTACCCAGCTTCTAGCCTGCCTAAGGCAAGTTTGAAAGTATACTTTCAACTTGCCTCTACCACTGAGCCACATTGGTGCTTGGAACTTCTAAGCACCGACGTGGCTGAGTGGTAGAATACTGGTCTGGCACGCAGGTTACCCGAGGTCGAATGCCACAGTGACCTAGTTGTGTTTCATTCACTTAATTTTTTTATTCATTTTGTGCGAAGTGGTTACGGACAATCACGGCGGCAGCGGACAAGTATTACACCGCATTTGACACGCGTTCACATCTCATAACAGCTTTCGCTGTAAAAGTTGTTGCTGATCCCCCTATAAAGGAATCCTAACACAAAAGTCAAACGTGACTTCACAGAAGTATTGGCACGTTTATTGTGAATTATTGCAACACATTTCAATGTCACGTTAAGAAGAGCAAGCATGTCGAAACTTCCAGCGCACACCTCGAGCCGAAAGTGCGAACGAAATAAGCATACACCGGACGAGCGCGGGCTAACAACTGTCACATCTCGACATTTAAAGCACGCTGTTCAAACTGAAAGGAAGGCGCACGAAACCAGCGCACAAGTGTACACAGGACACTGTGTACACTTGCCAGCGTTCTGCGCAATTCTTCCCTCTTCGTCCTGTGTCTCGCACTTGTATGCTTTTCCTAGGATGCACACTTTTTTTTCGTTAGATATGGAGAGAAAGAGCTATATATGCCGCTAATGATAATAGCATGTATATAATTGACTGTATAACTTCACACATTGAATGCGTCGCCATTCATTATTGTCTGCCCCAACAAGACTGGAAAGCTGAAGGAAGAGGATGGGGCTGTGAAGGGCGGCATTTCCCTAGTCACACGACGTCACTCTGCGTCTGACGTGCTGCTTTCATGACAAGTTACTAAGCCGACTTGACGCCCGCTATGCGAAGACCCCCCCCCCCCCCCCCCCCGCTATTAGCGCTCGCGTCTACTTTGTTTGACAGCCTTTGTCGCCCTGCTCGCACACCGTGTTTTGCGATAGAGCCGGAAAGAAGCACCGTTCATATTCAATGGGTGTGCCTTCCTTGACGGGGGTGGGCATAAACGAAGCCATATTCCTAAAGACAATCCTAAGTTGCCGAGATATGCCCGTCATGTCGAACCCTTTGTGTTCGAGAAGTGAGACACACGAGCCGTTGGAGGTGGAACCGTCTAACAGAGTTCCGAAGTGCTGCGCACCTGTGCTTGCTCGTAGGAGTCGCCAAAGTAGTGAACACTACAAAAGCGATTTTTTTTTGTTTTTGGACAGGAATAACGATGATAGATGGAAGTTTGCACTTTCTTTTCTATTTGGGCTTATATGCACCCAGTGTACCTTTCTGTTCTGAATGCTGCATGATCCAACTGTATGCCCCACCGCGGTAGTCTAGTGGCTAAGGTACTCGGCTGCTGACCCACTGATCACGAAATCGAGTCCCGGCTGCGGCGGCTGCATTTCCGATGGAGGCGGAAATGCCGTAGGCCCGTGTGCTCGGATTTGTGTGCACGTTAAATAATCCCAGGTGGTCGAAATTTCCGGAGTCCTCTACTACGGCGTCTCTCATAATCATATGACGGTTTTGGGACGTTAAACCCCCATATCTATCTCTCTGATCCGCCCGTAAGAGAAAGCTTATCTCTTTCTCCCTCTTTCGGTATTCTGAAAACATTGCGTATAGTTCACTGTGGCTATGCTGCCATTTTTTCCTATACTAAAAAGAAGAAGAGAAAAAAGATCAATGAAATAACTGGGAGAAAGTAACAACGCAAGAGAAGCCGCAAACTTTTGTGTGGTCATCTGTATACGAAGCCTCGTTTTTTTGTAGTTACTTTCATGAATTCCCAACGTTTCTTGGAGCGTGCATTCAACGCCCCCGATTCCCCGGAAGTAAAGTGGCGTTATGCTTAGCGGAAGGAAGGGCTACACGCGCCGATGCTAAACAATAAGAGTAAAAGCATGCTTGGTGGTAGAGGAACGCTTTGTATAAAGCGAGACACGTATGTGGAGCTGATGGCGCTATGCGAGTCACTGTGTAGTGCGTGCGACTTTTTACATTCCATGAGCACAACGCCACGTGTTTGTGTGTCTCTGATGCAACCTTTGCTTAAGCGTTACTAAAGATGCTTGGAGGCCCAGCAGATCTTTTTCTTCTCTCCTTCTTTTTGCATGTTTTCCTGACAAACCTTCTTGCACCAGATTGTTTTCCCCTCCCAATAATCTAATCTTAATCGAGCGTTTTATTTGGGCAGCACTATAGGCTATGGTCCTTACGTATGGTATTTTGACGATGCTTTGTTTTCGCCGGCAGCAAGACTGTGAGTATGACAAGGTGGACATTCTCAGCAAAATGGACAACAACACGATCCGGAAGCACGGGCTCTTCTGTGGCTCCTACCTGCCACCCATCATCACGTCCGAGGGCAACAGCCTGCGTATCGAGTTCAGCTCAGACAACTCGGTCCAGAAAAGTGGCTTCGCGGCCGGTTTTCTCATGGGTGAGTTGGGCAGCCTTCCGTTCTCAAAGGACATGTATAGAGATCATTGTTTTTTACTAGGCAAACAACCAACACACACACACACACACACAAACACACACACACACTTATGAGTCGCAAAACAAATAGATCGAGCAGTGCTCGCTAACGCTGCCCACGTCTTTCTATAATTCTGTCGTGTGTGACACCTGCCATGGCAGCTAACTACTGTGTTACACCGCCAGATCGAGGACTTGACTTTCATTCCCGGCTGCGGTGGTAAAATTGGTGTTCAGTGGATTTGAAAAGAAGGCGGAGTTCAAGCTATAAGCGGCCATGCCACTCCATTTCATAGATTATTCGTAAGCAAACAGAGGAGAAAATGTATTATTCATGGAGTTACTATTAGAGACCAATTAAAAAGAACTTTCGAATTGGTAAGGCCATTCAAAGAAGTCTGAAATGTTCAAATGTAAACCTAAATCTAACGGCATATGTTAACTCTACTTTCCTTATTTTGTAGCATGCCTATGCCGTCTTGGGATGGTACGGAAGGAAGAAGAGCCACACTGCAATGATGGCTGAGCAAGGACAGGCATTCCTTTCTACTCGTCGTTATAGACTGAGAATGAAATTTTTATAACAAATCTGAATCCTCAAGGGAACTCTCCTAAAAAATCTTCTCAGAAGGTATTGCTTATGACTGCAAAACCCTGGAGCACTCTGAAAAATTAACAAGCATGCTACCTCGATTTTTGTCTTGGTGGACCTGCACTTTCTCCCTTACAAGAAAGTGCAGTCTGAACAAAAATACACTTTATTATACGTTTTAACCATTTTCTCAAAAGCCTTTGGCGCTGAGGGTAATTGATAAATACAAAATGAATAATCTCCTTGAGAGAACAGTTTGCTTTCCTTTTGCTTGGCCTTCAAGCCAAAAGCAGGTTACAAGAAAATAAATAATCCTAAATGCAGTGCTCCTGCATATAATTTTCGGTGAATTAGAGAGGTCCTATCAGATACAGAGCAACATTGAAGCAAGTCAGCGGGAAATTTAAACGTTGCGGCAGTTGCTTCTTGAAGCCCTAAGGCCGAATTTGATTGGCAAAGTTTACATAGTAAGTCCAGCTTTATATGGTGAAATGTCATTGAAGATGAACAGCCGAGGTTCATTTTGTTGAGGACTTCTGTTCTTTTCCTATAGGGGTCGCATTTTGATTGACAGTGAAATGGTAGAGGCCCATGTACTGTCCGATAGTCAGTGCACGCTGAAAGAACATCACATGGTCCAAATTCGTGGAACCCTTCATTACCGCGTCTGTCATAATCATATCGGGATTTCAGGAGGTAGAACTCTGATATTCTTATTAGGATTACTGTTTTTCTTAAGTACACGCAAGAACAAACACTCCGCGTAGCTTCAGCATAAATTGCACGCAGCGTGCTAGTCCCGCGTTGTTAAGTCGTTATGTCCTATATTCTCTATTGTGCACTCAACTACAATTCATGTAACGCGTTCGGTTTTGCTTTCTGCCTGCCAGGCTCTGCCACTTCAGCCACCATTCACCTTTGACAAGCCTAGCCATATTAACTGCTTTTTATGGAATTGATAATAATAATGATATATTATTATTATTATTATTATTATTATTATTATTATTATTATTATTATTATTGTGGTTGTTGTTGTTGTCGTTGTTCTTTTAGTGGTACAGACGGTGCTGGTGAGAGAGAAGGAAGGGAGCGCCGAGCTTTCTCGAAAGCAGAGGAAAGACGCGCTGGTGCCACCAGCTTCTTCAGTGCTTGCGACGGTAATTTAAATGAAGCTGTGCGCATTTTTTTCTTTTCCTTTTTTTTGGGGGGGGGGAAGGAAGACTCGAAGAATGAAATTTGGTGGCTGGACAGTGTTTTTCGCTGTTTTATCAGGAGTTCTACACGCTGCAGTCTTTGCTTCGCTTTGCTATTCTAGATACATGGCACGTACTCACTTTGGGGGATTGGCCAAGAATGCAACGTAGAGACTAGTAAATGTTATTTTAGGTAAGCTGTAAAATTTAAAACCAAAAATAAAGAAATGAAATTGCAAATATGCGCAGGCAATGTACTTCCCGTCTCTCCTTTTTTTCCTTCTTTTCCCTCTTTATTCTTTCATGTCCCCGTCCTTAATCCCCCAGTGTAGGGTAGCCAACCAGATGTCTTTCTGGTTAACCTCCCTGCCTTTTCTCTTTGTCTGCTTCCTCCTTGCTATTTTATTCACTGCCAGGTGGTTTTGTGTTGTCTTCTTCTCGAGGCTACAAGTTCGTCCAATAGATTCCTTTTGCTGCTGAACTATGTATTTGTGGCTGCTGTACTGCGTATGACAGTCACTGATACGTCACAAATGCTCAGCAATTTAACAATAGTTTATTGTGTGTATTGTGCGGTAATGTTCCACCTACTTGATAATCATGGCCAAAGAAGAGCGTGAAGGGCAATTATGTCATAGTGGATCGTGTGCTTGCTCCGCCGGACATTTCTTGGGAATAAATTCTTCGTCATTGATCGCTGTGTTCTGGCATCCAACCTTCACGACATGAATTCGGGCGATAATCATCAATAGCTTCACGACGCGTAGTATCATTGGAGATTGTCGTTTGAAGAAAAGTAGTGTTACGCTATAAAGGCAACAATTACGCATGTGTACGTCTGGTTTTTGGAATGCTATGCGACTGCTCGATGTTCTTTCAGTGATATCGAATAAATATATAGTAGCCAGAATGATTGAACACATGGGAGCAAAGGCTAGATAAAATCTTCGCGTATAATGTAAGTATCATTCGCAGGATCATCGCAGGAATTGTAGCTTTGCAGCTGCTGCTAGTAAACATTGTAGGAAGCCCGAAGACATTGAACGAGAGACATGAGATACCCACAAACACTGTTTCCTTTTGGCCCACCACACGCACTCGTCTTGAACATGCTTCTGCAAGACAATAGTTTTCTTTTTATTTTTCGCGTCTTGTAGTACTGAAACGTGACCACTGCAGCCGATGCTAAAACCAGCTATAGAGTTTTAAGAGATGATTGCCGCTAAAAATATTCACTCAACACGTGAAAATACACGAACACGATGGCAAACGGGCGACTCATATCTGTGAAAGTATTTTCGTAACCACCAAGCAGTATAGATAAGATATATATGTTAAGGCCAGCATCGTAGGAAGCCATGATCAGTTCGGCCGAATAAATGCATACATAGTGAAAATATTTTACTGTTCATTACCCCGTGAACATATCTGCGCGTTGCACGGTCAAAATATGCACATAAATAAAAATACAAACAAAACGAAAATTAGACAGAACAACATCGTGATAAGCGACTGATGAGCTATCTTGAAAGTCCATGCGAAAGTTTATTGAAGCGCTACTCTGTACGAAACTCGCAAACTCTTCGGCTAAAATCCCCAGGGACAAATTCCCATTCATATGCACCCTAACAGCTTCCTTGCCAGCACATTTAAAAGCACTCGTGTTCTGTAGAAATTGATATAGCAAGCGTATAAGGTATAGGCCTAGTTTTTGTTGAAAGTTGCTCCAACTGGCGCTTCAGCTTTGAAAGCCTATTCCTTTCGTGTGTAAACGGTGTAAAGTAACCGACTACCCTGTCGTTTTCCTCTATCAACGCAGACAAGGACGAGTGCGCTCACAACAACGGTGGTTGCCAGCACATCTGCAAGAACACTGTGGGCAGCTACATGTGCACCTGCCAGAATGGCTTCGTGCTGCACCCCAACGAGCACGACTGCAAAGAAGGTAACGTGGTGGCATTGCTAGTATATACTCCAATACACACCATACAAAATATGGTCACTCATACCTACGTTACACAGGCAAGTTGACCGCACCTTCGGCCAACCGCAGTTAGCGCCAACCATGGTTTGTTGATGTTACACTGCGCAAAAGCAACCTCCTTTAAAGCGGCCAACCAATGCTTCATAAACGCAGCCATTTTCTCGACTAACCACTAAACCGAGGTTGCCAAGCTATGTTTTCTACGACCGCGTTTTGCGTACCGTGTAACATAAGCAAACCGTGGTTTAGGCTACCTGCGTAACTGTAATAGAACAAAAAAGAGAAAGAAAGGGGAAAAAGCAAGTACTCTTAGTGATGACATCGTTTGTGCGCCTCCGTGCACTTTTTTTCTGTGTACACTATGTTATTATTTCGCCCAAAATGACCGTAGTCGATATGGTCTATAAAGAACTTGCGCAAAGAATGTGAGCTGTTTCAATTTGCCAGATCACTCAACGCTGAGAAATCATGATCCATGCACTCCAATTTTTTCAGGCGAAAATATCTTGCAGTGTGATTAGTGGACCCAATTAGGACATGATGATTTTCCACTGTAAAAAAAAAAAACTCTTTCGCAGAAAAAAACAGAGACACAAAAGCAATATCTGTGCTATAATTATTAAAGAAGACCAGGTGGTCAAAATTTCCTGAGTCATCCACTACGGCGTTTCTCATAATCATAGCGTGGTTTTGAGACGTTAAACCCCAAAAATCAATAAAATGTGTGCTATAATACTTGCTGTAAAAACGGCAAGCTATGCAAAATATATAACACTTAGGTTTGTTATTTGACATGCGTCTTGTTTGTTCATGAAGCACGTTAAGAGAAAAAAAACGAGTAGGAAAAACGAGAGATAAGAATCAGCTTGGTTTTAGAAATAAAGCGCACTCGGTCAAGTCCCTCGCCTTTATCGTTTCCCCTCCACCTGGCTTGTCAGGGTAAGTCTTTTTGTTTATCGCAGCTTGGAAACCATGTCACACTCGCGCATGAACTGTAGAAGCTCTAGTGTGTGTGCTTGCGCATTAGTCTTGTGCATAGTAACGGAAAGCATGTTTAAAAGTGACCATAAGTGAACAGCAACGTTGTGCCATCATATGTTATCTCATTTCCACCTATATCAGCATAAATACGAGTATTTCTTCGACTACACTTACGCAGTCACCCACTTGCATATCATATACTGCGTGCCGAAATACTGAAACTTTTTTCATGTTTACAATTCTGCTGGTTAGAACCAGGCGATCTGTAGTCGTGAACACTTTATGGTATATCTGGCACCTTTACTTTGCCTCACCGAGGTCTTCAAAGAGTCAGTTCGAGAAACCAAAATTCATCGCCTTCGAGTAGTGCCAACACCACCGAGCTCAGCTCTGCTTGTATTGCGTATACTTCAGAGGAATCAGGCCGCGAGGTCGAATAAACTGGCCAAGACTAACAGCCAGTCATGGCGAGATTGCCGAAGCGAAGGATGTGTGTATTGGCGCAATAAAGTGCTGTATAGCTAAGGTTTGCAACGTTCCAATCTCAAAAACTTTGGAGTTTAGAATATAGACAAGAGATAAAATTTGGGATCTTTCTTTCTTCTCATTTTTTTTTACTTGACAGAGGATGGCTTTGTAGTTAGACAATTTTAAAACCTCCACTATCATGGCCGGTGTAACGAGCCTTTTTAACCGAAGTATAAGTTTGTAAGCAAAAATAGGCAAAGTAAAAAAAACAACAACAACAAGGTGCAACACTTTGTGAACGTAGTAAGGTAACAGTCGTTACTAAATATTTTAATACGACAGTGTTTTGCGTCGTCTGTCGAAAATTTATTTTCAGACATTCTTTCTTCTGTACGCATAGTCCACTGCGTCGTTAGTATCAAACCAATCAAAAACTATATTATACGCATCGCTCGACAGCGTCCATGTAAAAGCGGCGGCTTGGTATATTGTCCGTGTTTGTTGTTTCTCGCTGACTTTGTTAACAATTTGCCCGTTCCTCTTGCCCTACTTCGTCGTAAAATCAGCGTGCAGAACTTTTAAGCGAACTTGCTCCGGTCATCAAATGGTGAAGTGCATTTTTTTTCTTTTTTTTGCAATTCTCGTGGCAGTCTTGGTGGTCATAACTTGTTCGCCGAAGCTTTTTTTTTCTTTTTCTAATTCTATTGGTGCATTTCACGTTACTTTCGTGTTATGGGCAACGAAGTTGTCTTTAAATTACCTCATTTTGTCCCTGCCTGCTAAATATGCAAGCGACGCGTTCTCCGCCAGTGCGTCAACCAACTAAAATAAATTGAGCAAGAAAAGCAGAAACCCTCTGCTTACAACGCAGGTATATGCGTTATCCATCTACTATGTGCGGCATAGCAACTTGGCTAGTTCTGAATTAAGGTTTTCAAAAGAGGGGGAGGGGGGTGCTGGGAAATAGAACAAAATGAAACGTGAAGAAGGAGCATAAAATTTAAGGGTAGAGGTTCGCAATTTCTACACGGACGAAATTTTGAGGTAATTTGATGTTTTTAAAACTCTCAAAAATAAGAGAGAAAGTGTTCATAGACTCAGATTCCCTGTCAGCCATTGTAATTCTTTTGGGCAGCTTTTATTTTTTTATTTGACGCTGTATAAATCTGAAAAAAAAAACGCCGATCATTTTACGTTCAGACAGCGCAAATAGCCCCATACTCGACTCCGGGATGATACAACTGTGATGTTATAGGGGCAGGACCGCTCCAGAAAGAATCAGACAGCACGCCAGGGCACAAACACACGTCCAACTTCTATTGTACCCTTCACACATGGACAACCCACACATTACGAAGTTCCTAACACAAACCCACGCGGCTAAACTAAATGAATAAGTAGAACGTTCGGCCTACAGTTCAGGTCGTCGGGGTAGTAGACTGGGCCGTCGTTGATGCCCCGTCGGCAACATTCAGTGGCGAAGTCGACGATGGGCGGCGTCGTCACCTGCAGTGACGAAGTCGGGAGACGCAGGGTCGCCGCGTCGAACTCCAGTGGCTCAGCGCCACTGTCGACGAACTGGAGCCGACGACTCACGTGTTCCGGCGGCGGGGAGTTGTGCCCTTGAGCACCTGTAGTCCGCCTCGGAAACCCACGCCAGCCCTCCTGGAACAGCGGCGCAAGGGCAGGTTCAGGCACCCGGCGCCAGCTCTCCACGACCAGCGGGACAAGGACAGGTTCAGGAACCAGGCGCCAGCTCTCCTAGACCGGTCGTCTAGCGGAGGCTGAGCTGTCCACTCGGCTAGTACGAGTGTCGCGACGTGGCCTGGGTCGTACCTATGAGCCAGACGCCCAACGAGGTAGTCCTGCCTCGAACGACGTACCTCGCGCACTCCGAAGGCACGGGTCACCCACGCTCGAGGCCGCGCCTCACGAGCTCTCGTCTTCCTCGTAGGCACCGCCCGGCACATACACGCACACATCACATCCTCTTCGCCACCGCACGGCACACTATTGTCGTTTTTTTAGTTTCTGTTTCGCGCCCGCGCAGCACATATTATGACATCACCCCCTTTTCCGAGAAAGTTGTTTGCAACTATTCTACTACAAGGGCGCGGGGCGAACGAATGGTCACTGCACTGCACGGTCACTGCACGGTCCCTGCACTGCACTGCATTGTCTTAGGGGTCGCATGTACATAGTAGCAGAATGTTCACAGAAGGCTGCTTACAGTTCGGTTGGAAAACTACCGTACAAGTAGGGTTGCTATGTCGCAACTAGGAGTCAACTATTCACGACTGATGGCTAGTCGTATTAAGAACCACGTTGCTACCTAAACGGCAGTTATGCGCGACTCAAGTAGTTGGCTCCACCATTGTCACAACCTTTGATGTAATGAACTGTGAATGAGTACTCCTGCATAAGGAGACTCCACCTCAACACTCTGTTGTTCACGTGTTTGGCGGAATTTAAATACTGTAATGGTTGGTGGTCTGACTGAATGACAAAAGGTTTGCCATAGAGGTAAATATGAAATTTTTGCACTGCCCAAACAAGTGCAAGGCATTCCCGTTCTATTGTTGAATAGTGGGTTTCTCGGGGCAATAAATTACGACTTGCGTAAGCAACTGGATGCAGCACCTGGCCCTTTCCCATCTGGAGCAATACTGCGCCCAGGCTTGTATTGGAGGCATCCGTACGAAGAACGAACTCCTTCGAGAGGTCGGGAGCGAGGAGGATGGGAGCATCACCGAGCTTCTTCTTGAGGGCCGTAAACGCTTCCTCTTGATGTGCGCCCCATGAAACAGTGTGGCTTTGTCCCTTTCTTGTAAGGTCCGTCAGCGGCTTGGTCAGTTCGGCGTAGTTCGGTATAAACTTCCTGTAATAGCCGGTCAAGCCTAGAAACGACTGCACTGCTTTCCTGGTTGTAGGTCGTTTTGCGGCAAGAATCTTGTCTAGCGTTTTGAGAAGCGGTTCAACTGTAGTCTCCCCGATTCGATGTCCCAAGAAGGATATGCTTCGCTCTCCTATCTCACATTTACTTGGTTTTATGGTGAGGTGAGCTTGGTTAATTCGTTCAAAAACTTGTCTGAGGGTGTCGATGTGCTCTTGCCAAGTATCGGTCGCAATGATGACATCGTCGAAATAATGGTGAACGTTGTCAACACCACCCAGTACTGATCTCATAAGGCGCGCGAATACTGCTGGCGCCGTTTTAATGCCAAAAGGCATGTAGAGGAAGTGATAGAGCCCAGACATGCTGGAGAAAGCAGTTTTTTCACGACTGTTTGGATCCATCGGTACTTGCCAGTATCCTTTCGTGAAATCAAATTTGGAGAAAAACTGCTTTTGTCCAACAAGTGCAAGAACTACATCGATGCGTGGTATTGGCTCGCAGTCGGGGACCAGAATCTTGTTCAATTCTCTGAAGTCTATGCACAACCTAATCGTGTTGTCCGGTTTCTTCACCACGGCAATGGGAGCGTGGTACGGCGACTGAGACCGCTCAATAA